CTCAAGCATTCAACGATAATCCTTTGTGCGGTTTTCGCGGCTTTCTTCCACTCTGCAGTCAGTTGCATTGGAGGATTTTCATCAACAACACTGAGCACTTCTTCATCTAATAACGCACGAATTCCCAACTTCTAAATGCCGTATTTTTCTCCGTTTAATGGTTTAATATTCCATTTTCAGCTCTTCTTGTCGTCACCTATTTTCATTTTTATTTTATTTTTAATCACTATCACTTTTTCAATTCAATATTTCAAATAACATGACTTAACATTACTGGATGATGAAAGTGTCTTTTCAATTGATAACTAATTGCTCATAATGAAATTCAATTCAATAATTTACAGGTGGCTAAGGCCCGTAACCCTTTTGGAATATGGGAACAGGTTAATAGAAATAAATTATGACACCAAGACATAAGAGTTCAGGTGAAGTTGAGCATTTATTTTAAGTTGTCCATTCATGCCCGAATCCAAGAAGGAACTAACTTTTCACAAATAAGACCCCAAGTGCCATGGGCTTTTTGTATGATTCTCTGTGGCGTCATCTGCAACATAAACAATACTGTCACACAGTCGACACAGACACTATCGTTACAATAAGAAAAATCTACACCTTATACAAAGTCTTTGTATCGTAACGAACTAAATAAGAACTAAATTAATTAGTTTTGCTCACTCCAATACCCCGCTATCCCGTTTTACCCCGCTGTCCATTTTTCCTGTATTTTTCTTTCCGTTTAACTGAATTCAGATTAATTCCTCGATCGCCATGATATACGTGAAGAAGGCGCGCGGCAACCACCACGTGACTATTGAAAATCTTATGCTCCATCCGGAGTGTCTTTACCATCGTCCACCCATTTCTGATAAGATTCTTCTTAAGGGTGATGAAAAAACAATCTTCGCGGGAAATGTAGAGAATAAGTCGAAGGAGAGTCATCCCTCTTTCTTCTGTTCAGTGATTTCCAGAATCGGATGACTCCCTGTGTTTTCTTGAAAAATTCCTGTGATTTCTTGATCAAAATGGAAAATCCTGACTGTTCTTGATTTCTTGTGATTTTAATCATAATTCCTAGTAGAATTCGATGATTTCTTGATTTCGTTATCTAGTAAGGATCATACCTTATGAACATCATAGCTTCCAAGCGTCATGCCTAGCAAAAGTCATACGTCGTGAAGATCATACCTTGCAAGGGTCAACCATCACGAAGGTAATAACTTGTAAAGGATAAACTTTACCAAGATTAAACGTCACAAAACTCCGAAGTCAGAAGGGTCATCTCCATTGTGAGAATATCAATATAATGATTCATTAAGCTTTATTGAAATCTCAAGGCTACTATACGCTCCGTCTTAATATTAATTTGCATATGCTCCACGAATTAATTTAAGGCTTCTTTCAAAATTCAGTGACACATTGTTAAATCACAGAACGATTCTATTGTCTTTGGTAGATTTTTTTTTCTGCGTTTTCAGAACAGAGCGTTTAGAGCAGAGAGTTCTTCTTAGATCTGTCTGGCCCTTTTCAAGCCCCCGATAATGTGGAGAATTCAATAAAGCTCAATAGTGAATAGGATTGCCTTACTCACAATGAAGATAACCTATATAAGTTTGGTCCTTTGCAACATTCAATTTTCATGAAATTCACCCTTACGAGGTATCAGAAATATCAAGTTAAAACAGTAAATAAATTTTTCGATTCCACATTCATCAATATCAATATAATGATTCATTAAGCTTTATTGAAATCTCAAGGCTACTATACGCTCCGTCTTAATATTAATTTGCTTATGCTCCACGAATTAATTTAAGGCTTCTTTCAAAATTCAGTGACACATTGTTAAATCACAGAACGATTCTATTGTCTTTGGTAGATTTTTTTTTCTGCGTTTTCAGAACAGAGCGTTTAGAGCAGAGAGTTCTTCTTAGATCTGTCTGGCCCTTTTCAAGCCCCCGATAATGTGGAGAATTCAATAAAGCTCAATAGTGAATAGGATTGCCTTACTCACAATGAAGATAACCTATATAAGTTTGGTCCTTTGCAACATTCAATTTTCATGAAATTCACCCTTACGAGGTATCAGAAATATCAAGTTAAAACAGTAAATAAATTTTTCGATTCCACATTCATCAATATCAATATAATGATTCATTAAGCTTTATTGAAATCTCAAGGCTACTATACGCTCCGTCTTAATATTAATTTGCTTATGCTCCACGAATTAATTTAAGGCTTCTTTCAAAATTCAGTGACACATTGTTAAATCACAGAACGATTCTATTGTCTTTGGTAGATTTTTTTTTCTGCGTTTTCAGAACAGAGCGTTTAGAGCAGAGAGTTCTTCTTAAATCTGTCTGGCCCTTTTCAAGCCCCCGATAATGTGGAGAATTCAATAAAGCTCAATAGTGAATAGGATTGCCTTACTCACAATGAAGATAACCTATATAAGTTTGGTCCTTTGCAACATTCAATTTTCATGAAATTCACCCTTACGAGGTATCAGAAATATCAAGTTAAAACAGTAAATAAATTTTTCGATTCCACATTCATCGATCATCTCCGAAATCACCTGATTTCGTTATGAGTTCTTCCGATTTTTTATAATTTCAGGAAGTTATGAGAAATTACTATTGAAAACGGTAATCCCTACATTTTCAATAATTTCTACTGATTTCTGGTCATTTCTTTTTTGGCTTACAACCGAGCGGTCCAGTGATTTCCTGAGCGGCTAGCTCCTCAGAATGAGTATTGTAGAAGTTCATGAGCCGTTTCCAAAATCCAGATGGGTTATCCAGTAGAAATGACTTGAGAAGCTCTCTCAAGGCAATCATTACACATATTTCTTAAAATTTGACCGACGGCAGTGGCTGTGTGGTTAGAGCGCAAATTGGCACGTGGTGGACGTAAGTTCGATCCCCCCACCGGATGCCGAAAATATGTCACGCTCGAATTCTCAGTTTCATTGTCCACCGACAGTCTCGCATGGGACGACTATACTTGCTCAGATTTTTCCCTTATTGAGGTTTTCCCTCGGTCTTCGGCGAATACGCTACAGAGGGTTAGCGGTGGAAAAGGACCAAGTCATAAAAACCAGAAAGGGTGTACAAGGGAGGGAAAAAAAAACTTCTCAAAATTATAAAAAATTAATTTGTTGACCAGGTTATCAACAAATATTTCATATAAAAATGAATTGAAAATTCCGTTGCGACAAAACATTGGATATTAATTTTATGATATAAGTACAGATAAAGACGCAAAGTTATGATTTTCTCCAGTTGAGGTTGGGGCAACGGGGCCTAGGAAAATTTCTTCATTTGGACCAAATAAATTTTTTCTTTGAACTAAATAAATATTCATTTGACACTAATGATTTATTATCGATTTGAGATGGTAATGAACTCCAAAAAGATTGAATGAAAAACATGCAATAATTATTAGGAACTGACGGCGGTGGCTGTGTGGTTAGAGTGTGGGATTGGCATGCGGGAGGCCCGGGTTCGATTCCCGGCTGGGGGGGGGGAAATTTGTGATACTCTAAATCTCACGGTTTCATTGTCGAGCGGGAGTCTCACAAGAGACGACTGTACCTGGCCAGATTTTTTCCTCAAATGAGGTTTTCCCTTGTCCTTCGGCGAATGCGGGAAGGGAACAAATCGTAAAGATCCAAAAGGGTCTTACGACCCTTGTATAGAGAAGAAAAAAAAATTATTAGGAACTGTACATACATTATTGTATGTACATACATTTAGGGGCAGGAGAGGGAAGGAATATCTGTTGCACGGTTTTAGTATCAAGGAGACGATGGTGAACAAAGGTCGTATATACTGGAGTGACAAGTGGAATAAAAAATAGGATCAGAATGACTCTAGAAAGCTCAAATCGTCCAAATTTTACGTTTCCTCGATTAGGTTTATATGAAATGTGACATCAAACTGTATGTTCCTTTGATTGTGTTACTGTTCCTTTTATTATTTTTAAAAATAAATGAGAGAGTGAAATGAAAAATACAATGAGCCAGTAACATAATTATACGCGCCCAAAACGCGCAATCCTTTCCTACCCTTAAAAATATTATACCTAAATTTCAGTGCATGGATTCCTGCAATTTAAGCGAATTTAACTTACCATCAAGAATATCTAAAAATGAAATACCAAATTATAAAATTAACGTTCAATTCCTAAAAACTGGGGATATACTTCTAAAAATTAAGACTTTTTTCTCTCTATGCACATTCCTGAAGACTATTACTACACGGAAAAGACAAAAGTTTTTTTAGAAGTACGTCTTTACGTACGTAAAGTTATGTTGTAAGGGTATACAACATTTCTCACTAAGAAAAAAAAATTAAGCCAAGAATTTTATACTTGTCCAAAAGATGAGGGCAATTGGTTCATATCAAGAAAATGAGTTATCAAATCAATTCAAGTGGTTTTTGCATTAAAATATTTCAGAATTGAACCTAAAAGACTATTAAATGGATTAATTCAATTTTACTTGGATTCAGAAATCGTTTTCGTGTCATCAAATAATTGTCGTCGTCTTTAGGACAAGTAAAAAATTTCGTAGCAAAAGTTTTTTTTTCTTAGTGCAAGATATTTTGCTCTTAAAAATTTTCATGCTACGAGTTTCTTGATAGAAATAAAGACGTACTTCTCAAAAAACTTTGTTGTTCTCAGTGTACTAGACTGCTACTAGACTTTCTACAAAATGTCAATTTCTCCTGATCATGAAATAAAAATCACGATCGTGAAATGTGAATTATTATCACCTTTTATCTCTGAAGTGATACTCAAAAACTATTGGACCGGACCAGTTGAATTTCATGTAATCAAAATATTCACAATGGAATCATATTAGAAAATCAAAATTGAAGCAACCAGTTTTTCTCATGACAAGGTGTCATATGAATCGTCCAGCCACATCTCCATTTCTGTTTGTACAGTTGACTATGTTGCAATGTTAACATATATGACTCTAAATCATTTTTTTTCATTTCAAGGTGAACATCAATTTGGGAGCTGGTGAGAGCGAAATTTCGAGTCCACGAGGATTGACGTTGAATGATCAAAGTTGGCATGAAATTAATTTAACACGACGCGAGGCAAATATGACGCTGCAGATTGACGTTATCCACACAACGAGAATGATTTTACCCGGACGTTTTTTTGTGCTCAACATACTCTATGGTGTTTATATTGGTGGGCGAGGAGATTTCAATGAATTATTTCTGGGTAAGCACGATAACTTTGTTCACACTGGCATACCCATTCTCTGTGCCCCACGCTTCAACCTCCAATAACGCAACTTTCTCGACCATTTTGTTCTCTTTATCCACATGAATGCCAACAGCAAAAGAAAAGAGAAATATAATAATAATATGAAATTGTCGATTTGAATGCGCCTCGTTAAATTAGCATGTTATTGAAAGAAAAATTACTGGAAAATTATCATTCGTTATAGCGTTAACACTCCATTTGACATTGCATAGATTTCCCAAAGCTTCAATTGTCCTTCCATTCCAGATTTTTCCCTTCATGGTAGCATGCACACTATTGTAATGAAAAGGTCCGCTCGATATCAAGGCCGAATGACTCCAAATATTTTAACATCTTTGGCTTTATTTTTTTCCATTCAAATCCATTCCAACGCTTTTAATTAAACATTGAAGCTCCTATTTGAATCCAATCTGTTCCTAGATAGTAAAAATTTTACTATTATTTTTCATTATTTGGAATATCAAGGTCAAAACTGGATTCACCATTCCGAACAGTTATACGAAATATATTGAAAATGTAGCGAAAATTGAAAAGTTTAATTTTTCCGAAAGAATAATAAAATCATGGAAATATCGCAATTTTAGGCTGTGTTTTTACGGCATTTAATTTGAAAAATTGACGATTAAAAACGTTCAAATCTACGTTCGAATTTGTAAAAAACTGTAGAAAGTACTTGGACATTCTTAATTCAAGTCTCGAATATTTTCAATAACTTTCGTCAGTTGTAAACTTTATCTGAGAATCATGGAGGATCAAATTGAACCCATCTGTCTCTCTCGTAGAAACCGTCGTGAACATCAGTATGATCCCCACGAATCTCTGTGGAATACAGTATTCCTAGAGTTCCTCTCAACACAATTTTGGTCAATATCAGGACGGCAGTTCAAAAATTAAATTCTCAAAGTCCAATGTCATGTCATCCCGACTGCCATTTCGACTCCTTCTAACCTTCAAGTTTCCCATTTAAATGATTCTTTGTGCTTTCCCAGGTAAGAATTGACGATAGAAACAGGGCTCATCAAGCCCTGGACCAAGGCTCGGAAATGCTCAATCAGGGCTGGGTCTCAGCCTTAGATCAATCCTCCTTCAGCCCTAAAATGATAACCTCGTTTCAGGCTTAGTCCGTAAGGCTGAAACGAGGCTTGGTGCCAAGGCTTGATTCAAGCCTTGAATTACCAAATTTTGAAGGCTCAATCGAGCTTCAGCTAAATAAAATGGAGTATTGTTTACAGATATTTGTATAAACAATTTTTGATTGCTTTATACCACTTTTTATGAATTTAGAGTAACCTATGAAAAAGAGTGCGGTCGGACAGTACATCACTGTTGCTAAGCGTTGTTGGTGATAGTGATTGTCGGTTAATTCACAATGGATGGGAGAAAAATTATCATCATTAGTTTTAATTATTTATCCTGGATTATTACCGCGCACCTGGAAATTGAAATACAATGAAATCAAACATTTAGATATTTGCTCCTGCTGGGGTTCGATCCGGGGTCCTTCTGATCCGTAGACAAGCGCGCTATCCACTGGGCTACCTGCGACTTCTTAGAATGATACATTCTTTTCGGGTATAAAACTGAGCCTCGCCAATCCTGGGCTCATACATATAAGCCCAGAATTGGCAAGGCTCAGTTATTCAGGCCTGGGATAGGCTTGGTTTCATCGTTCACTTGAGCTTCAAATGAGGATGATTAAAGGGGCCATTGGCGAGGCTCAATTCAGGCCTAGTCCAGGTTTCAGTATTCAGGCTCAGTACGTTACGTTTCAGTATTCAGGCTCAGTACGTCAAGGCTTATTCAGGGCTCAGCAAGGCCTCGAAAATTAAAGTTACTTTCGATTAATTTCCTCAATTTTTATATCAATACTCATTAGCTAATGGTGGTGAAAACATTATCATTATCTACAAACATAGCTATATTTTTCCGCCAAGTTATCTAAGCTAATCCCAGATCAGGCCTAGAGCAGCTCTTTGTGCATGAAGCTACATAATTATTATTATCCTTATCTATAATTAATTAATCAATCGATTCTGAACTCATAAATCCATCGGACCTATCATTTATTCAAGTTCAGGAAGTTTAATTAGGATATCAACAAAATAACAAAATAACACTAACACAAGTTGAATTTCTATACCCGAAAAGAATGTATCATCCTAAGATGTCGAGGTAGCCTAGTGGATAGCGCGCTTGTCTACGGATCAGAAGGACCCCGGATTGAACCCCAGCAGGAGCAAATTTTTAAATGTTTGATTTCATTGTATTTCAATTTCCAGGTGCGCGGTAATAATCCAGGACCAATAATTAATAGAAACTAATGATGATAATAATTTTTTTCCCATCCATTATTAATTAACCGACAATCACAATCACCAACAACGCTTAGCAACAGTGATGTACGGTCCGACCGCACTCTCTTTCATATGTTACTCTAAATTCATAAAAAGGTTTATGAAGCAATAAGAAATTGTTTATACCAATGTCTGTAAACAATACTCCAGTTTATTTAGCCGAAGCTCGATTGAGCCTTTAAAATGTGGTAATTCAAGGCTTGAATCAAGCCTTGGCACCGAGCCTCGTTCAAGCCTTGCGGACTAAGCCTGAAACGAGGTTATCATTTTAGGGCTGAAGGAGGATTGATCCAAGGCTGAGCCCTGATTGAGCATTTCCGAGCCTTGGTCTAGGGCTTGACGAGCCCTGTTACTATCGTCAATACTTACCTGGGACAGGCTTGTTCTCATCGTCAGCCTATGTAATTCTTACCTGGTTTGCAACCTCGATCGCCCGCTATGGGACATTAATTAATTCAATCAAATCCATGTATTCCAACTTTTTGACAAAGTCGGAAAAAATTCCCCAAGGAGACCATTGCTTGTATTAACCGTGTTAGTGCGAACCATTATCACCCTTGGGGCCTCATTGTACAGAATATAGGTTGCATCAATGACTCCAGCTGCCATTGTGGCGCCGAATTCCAAGATATTTACCATGCTATGTGTTGTTAAAACCTAGCGCTTTCTTTAAAGATGGAATAGAATAGAATAAACTCCCTAAAAAACAAAAATGAATATTTTTGTAAAAAAACAGTGCCAAGAAAAAGTTTTATTTATTTCTTACTGGGAAGTATAAATTTTTGAAAAACACCAATAAATAAATAGAAAGCCAAGTTAGGAAAGCCGAATGAATAGACATAGCGTACAATCAGATTTCTATGAGAAAAATAGTTTTAAATGGAATCAGGGGTAAAAAAATTCTCGATGAAATAAAAAATTTGCAAAAGGAAGATCAACGTCCTTGGCGCGGATCCGAAGATGGAGGATTAGATTGATTTTAGACAGTAAGTTGAAAAACTCTGCGCCAAGACCGTTGGTCGTGCTTTTACTGATTTTTATTTCATAGAGAATTTTTCTCCAATCCTTATTCGATTTAGAAATATTTTTCTTATAGACATCTGATTGTGCCCTATGTCCATTCATTTGACGTTTTCTGACTTGGATTTTTTTCCATTTCTTTGTATTTTTCAAAAATTGGTACTGCTTAGTCAGAATCAAACAAAATTTTTCATTGGCCCAATTTTTTATACAAAAGCACTTGTTTTTGCTTTTTAAGGATTTTGCAAGTTTTTTTCAAAACGGCCACATGGTTATTCTCCTGACCTTTTATTTCCGTATTCCGAAATGAAATGAAAATTATTTTTCATTTTTTTACGCTCACAAAACAGGAAATTTTACAGAATTTCAATCCAATACCTTTCGAACATTCATTTATGCACGGAACCCAATTGAAAAATATCTGTGGAATTAGTTTATCATTCATGCACCAAATTCAATCCGTAAATTCCCGAGCTGCCTCCTTAGTGCGTATGGTTATATTTGACTGTTAGCAATTCTACACGGAGAGAAATTTTTGATAAAAATTATCCTACCGTTCTATAAAAGTGTATCATGAGTCATCGTTTCCTCATTTCTATCCCGAAATTCAGTAAAAATTAATATACGATGATCAAATTTTATTCTACGTTAGAGAAATTTTATCCTGATAAAAATAAAAATTACCGTTCAGGTAGAGTAAATATTACTGGACTGGAAGGGTAAAATTTACCAACCGTTCTGGAATTTTTGTTGTTATCTACATACAAATTATTTGACTGGAAGGGTAAAATTTATTATGCGTCAGGATAAAATTTCTCTAACGTAGAATAAAGTTTGATCATCATATAACAATTTTTACTAAATTTCGGGATAGAAATGAGGAAACGATGACTCATGATACACTTTTATAAAACGGTAGGATAATTTTTATAAAAAAATTTTCTCCGTGTATAACAAAAAAATTGCAGGCGGCTGTATCTTCGATACAGCTGTAATTGTACATGGATACGTCCATGGTCTTTCCTTCTTTCTCGAATTACCTCGAAATGTCTAGAATTTTCTAGAATTCCGATAGATGGCACTGCACATAAGGACCATTTCCCAAAATGACCCCCATATTGAACCCATAGACGTATCCATGTCAAAAAATGATAGGAGATAACGTGAAATGCGAGAATGTGCATATGAACCATTTGCTATGCGCGTAATTTTTTTAAATATTGATTCGAACAAAAGAATAATACCATCAGTGAGAAACTTGTGGCCGATTTATATAATGCATAACTAAGAGTATTTTTCATGTAGCTTCTCATGTTTGAATTTTATTTAATGGTTATGATTCGGAAGTAGTGAAGGGGGTAGTTGTTTCGTGTACAGAGACACGGCAGCGTTCTGCGAATTTTGTAGTCAGAGTCAAAACATTTCCTTGGCCGATATGCTACCGCGTGTCTCGATGTTTCTTAAATGAATTATAGATTTTGTACAGAATCATCAACGAGACAGTTTGGATTGTACTTAAAATTAACAGAATTCATAGTATGGCAAATATAACATCATATAATTCAACATATGAATATATCA